GTACTTGCTCCATAGGAATACTCACTGCCAACTGGGGAAGGGCAGGTGCTGGTGTGGGTGCTGCTGACCATGGAGGTGGTGGAGGACATTGTGCTGCTCTGTGGGATCAAAAAACAAAAGGGAGGGAGAGGGAAGAAGAAGAAAAAAAAAATAAAGAAAAAAAAGAAAGAAAAAAAAAAAAAAACAAAAAACTCTGTTTTGTTAAATACTCATGTGTTTTCCAAAGAGAAATTCCATCTAAAACTCATTTCTTGAAAAGGCATTATCATATGGGATTTCATACCTCATTTATTGACTAGCTATTTGTTTTAATTTACTTTCTCACTGATTTACATCCATTTAAGATTACTGGGGCCAGAAGTATTTCAGTATTAGAATCTGTACCTAGATCTGTAATTCCTATGAAAAAATAGATTAACATATATCATGATAGCTCCATTGGATATGTGATGTGACTAGACTTACAACAAAGTAATAGCAACAGTACAATTTTATTTCTATTGTGATAAATATGGTGATATTTATTACATTGCTAGTGTCTTATTGTTTAATAATGCCAGCATAACTGAGAAATAATCAAGTTTTGATATAAAAATGTTAATGTTTTTACTTCAATTTAGCATATTATTATATGCAGATTAAAGTATTATCATTATTCTATATTGATTCTTGTACATTTAAGTGGAAAAATATTAATAGTAAACTAATTTCTACTAAATTATTTAATTAAAGTTTCTAAATAATTTGCTTCTTATGAACACCTAAATCTGGACAAAAACTTTCACACATCCAATTTGAAAAAAAAAATATATATATATATATAGCAAGAAGAATGGTATCCTAATTATAATTATACAACTTTTTTTAAAAATAATTTTTACATTGTGTACGGTAAATTGTAGTTAAAAATTAAAAACACACTCTTATCATGCAATTACAAATTCTTAAACACTTACATTTTCTTCTAACAGACCTTCCAATTTCAGTGATCTTTTAACACTGCAAAAAACATTTAAAGAAATGTTAGATTTGACATGCTTTAAGTAACCAAATATTTAAGAGTAAAATAGATAAAAGCAAGCTCTGTTATTTTTACCAACTAAATTTCATATAACTTACTAAAACAGAATATCATATGAAGAAAGAAATCATTTATGGCAATGATACGGAATGTTTTTAAAAGCATATTCCAAAACGGAATCATAATTTAAATGGATCACTTTTTAATATAGGTAAGCGTTGCTTATGGTCCCTTTGGACAAACCACATGTACATCCATGGTCCCATTAGGTTTCTTGGGTTTTTTTAAAGGAGAAAACAGCTCTCTTTTTGTTTATTTCCTCCTAATGGCTTAAAGGACCCCAAACCCAGACTTTTGCAATCCCAGATTATGGGTGGGTTACCTACAGGCAGATGAGACAGAGGACACAGATCTGGGCACAGGCTCTACTTAGATTCCTCCTCACTAGCTTCCTCTCCCTCTGCTCCCACCCGCCAAGCTGCCTTTGCTGCTAGGACCCAAGTCTCTGGCCTTTGCCAATAGCTCCAGCAGCAGCACCATATCAACAGCTATGATGAGGACAATCTGAAGCAGACTCCCAGTAGGTTTTAATATGGTGTTTGTAAAATATCCAATTCACATAATGTCCTACTTTGTGGATGTCAGTTGAAAGATATCCTATATATGGTCTTACATACATGGATTATCATACAATTCAAAGATTAAAGTCATATTATTAAAAATTTTAGCAAAAAACTACTGTATTTATTTTTAAATACCACGAAAAACTGACTTGGAAACCCAAGGAGGGGTCACTGAGTTGGGTCTGACTCCATGGCACATAACAATAACAACAATAAAAATATTATGTAAGAGCAAAATAATTTATATATCTTTAATGGAGACATTAAAAGTGTATCACTTGTAGAAATAATGCACTAGGCATTGAAATAAAGTTATGAGCAAGGTGAAAAAAGTTTCACACATTATTCTAGCTTTAAACATGATTCAGTGCTACCAGACTATGACTTAACTAAGGAACAGATGCTCTATGACTTTATAAGTCCCCAACCCATAAGAAACTATTTTTTGTCACCTTCACTAAACTGATTCAGGAACATGTCAGGCTCTCTGTGTGCAAAATCTGTTCTGCTAAACTTGATGCCCAGCTGTTGGTGACAATGCTTAGAAAGGAAAGCTGGATATTTATAATACTTTATTTCATACAGCTGTCTTCTAAAGAGCAGTCATCAACATTTTACTGAATTCAGACTAAATGTTCAAAGGAGAGAAAGGTCAATGTGAATTAAAACTAGTTTTTCCAGTGACAAATGCAGCATTAAAAGCACATTCTTGGTCTCTGAGACACAGAAATAAAGTTATTTAAATTACCATTATAAGGCAAAAAAGAGACTGGATTATAAAACAAAACTGTATACCACATTTTTTGCCAATAGCACACCAGCGTAATTAATGTGCACACATATTTAACAAGTGGAAATGATTAAAGCATGTTAAAAAACTTCTGGTATAGTGTGCACATGTATACACCATGCATGTCTCATGGCATTTCCAGAAGCAAATTTCAGCCTTATTTACCCTCATTCAAAGTCTCCAAAAATGTTACTTTTAATCATATTTATATAATAAAGGTGTAAGTATGGTTAAGAAATCATGGGTCAAGTTTGGTAATACTGACGTAATCTGAAAATAAACAACCGAAAGTGTGTATTTGTTCTGGGGCAGTTCATGCCTGAGCCTAAGAGTGGCTGAGTTCCTTGTAGCTGACCTGAGCCCAGGTACATCACGCTGGAGACGGGGATAGGGCTACTTGTAAGGCTGCTACAGCCCAAGCTCTGGCTTTCCCCTCAGTGGGTGGGGGTCTGTTACCCGAGCGTGCCTAGGTCCCGCAGTGCCAGCCCCACGTGAACACAGGCAGCAGGATGATGCAGCTGCAGGCCTTCACTGACCCAGCCCCGCAGGGCCCCTCAACAGGCAGTTGGACTCTTCTGGTCCAAGTGAGGAACACATAATCCCTCAGTGTCTGTGGCTCTCATGTCTGTCCCACTGCATTAAACCAAGCGGGAGACTCAAACAGCCCAAGTGTGGTGGCCGGCCAGCCTGACAATAGGGCAGAATGTGTACAGATACAACATGTTGAATTCACCTGCCTGAGTGAACTCTCCAGCCCAGGGTGCACAGATTCATTCACCTCCTTAGGCTAGGGCTAGACACTCTGGTGAAGGCTTTTTCAGGGGCAGAAAAAGTGATTTCTTCCAGCATTGGAGAAAGCACTTCGTAGAACAGGAAAGGAATCCTGCTGAGAGAGGGGCTGCTTTAGAAACTCATAAGTAGGCTGATGAGGGGTCTACTGTTGAGAACTAAACCTCCAGGTCAATAAGCACCAAGATGAAAACTTAATATTAAATCCATTGTACAGGGGAAAAAAAGAAAAAAAACTGAAGTCATCAACAAGCAAAAAAAAGAACTGGTATGACATGCTTACAAAAATAATACTGTGAGGGGTTGCATGGCATGCAAAAATGTATAACAAGTGCATTATATGCATAAAAATATGCAAGATCATAGGAAATGACTACAAATAATTGACTTGATTTACAAACAACTGATGAGATGGACAATCTAACAAGCAGGAAATATTATACATAGAAATTTAATCTATCTAAAAAGCATTAACTAATTTTGCTATCATATGTATGCTCAAAAAAACCAAAAAAAAAAAAAAAAAATCAAACTCACCGCTATGGTTCTGACTCATAGCGACCCCCCCTGGGATTCCAAGGAAATACATCTTTAGGGAAGTAGGTTGCTCCACCTTTCTTCTGCAAAGCAAAAGTTTGGGTATGAACTGCTAGCCTTCTGGTTAGCAGTCAAATGCAGGCACTGTGCCACCAGAGCTCCTTATATATATATATGCTAATGATCATAAAATATTATTTTTTGAGATTAACTGACTTGGCTTAAATAATCTCTTAGAAATCCATTTGAAATCAATTTAATGTAAATTCTCAACGAAACAAGAATAGACTAGAAGTATGAACAAATAAAAGTGGCAGACAATCTAAAAACATATATAAGTGCTGTATTATCAGTGGTGGCATAGTGCCTAAGGCACTTGACTGGTGACCAGAAGGTGGCGGTTCAAACCCACCAGCCACTCCTCAGAAGGAAGATTGGGCAATCTACTTCGGTAGTGATACTGCCTTGGAAACCCAAGGAGGGGTCGCTATGAGTCAGAGACAACTCAATGGCACATAACAGCAACAACAACAGATGACCAATGGTTAAGTTTTACAGAAAGAAACTGTTCAGTGGGTGACTGCCCATCATAGTATTTTGTTCATCCCACTTTCCTTTGTATTACAGGTTATGCTTATCACTTGAGTAGGTATGCAGTAAAAATGTGTTGAACAAATGAAAGAATGTTGAATGAAAGTGCATCTCTGTGTTACCTCCTCTAGAGTGAGTTTCTGAGGAGGCAGTAGTGTAATAAAGCAGAAAGAGCCTGGACTTCAACTTCAGAAGGTCCTGGACTAGAATCTCTGCTTGATCATTTATTAAATAGTTAATGGAATCTTGGGAAACTGTATAATTTCTTTGTGCTTCAGCTCTATAAATGTTTGGTAAATACATGAACAACAACAAAAAAGTAACTGGATTTAAAAGGTATCAAGATTAGGTCCTAGGCTGATATAAGAAGTCCAAGGAAATACATAAAAGTAAACAATAAGCTGGGTTAAAATAGGCTGTAACCTCACGCCTACTTTGGTAATGTTATTTATCCAGAGGGATAACTTAGAGGACATCATGTGTGGTAAAGTTGAAGGTCAGAGAAAAAAAGGAAGGACCTTGAAAAGACGGAATGACACAGTGGCTACAGCAGTGGGCACAAACATAGCAATGATCGTGTGGATGGCATAAGCCCAGGCAGTGTTTCATTCTGTTGAACACAGGGTCACCATAAGTTGGAACTGACTCGACTGCACCTAACAACATCTCCCACTTTGATTACACTGGTAAGAATCCAAAACATGATCTGTTGTATGTAATGTGATGTTCAGATAATTCAGATACAAAATAACCAAAAGCTCAATAATTACAGGAGTCCTAAAAAGATTTAATAGACAAGACTATACAGCTGCCAGTGCCACCAAGTCGATTCTGACTCATAGTGGCGCTACAGAACAGAAAACTTCCTTCCTAGGGTTTCCGAGGCTATACATCTTTACAGAAGCAGACTACTTCATCTTTCTCCCCGAAGTGGCTTAGTGGGTTTGAATTGCCAACCTTTTGGTTAGCAGCCGAATATTTTAACCACTGCACCACCAGAGCTCCTCAGACAATACTAGGAGAAATCTGTTAGTTCACCAGTGTGGAAGAGTTTATGTGATTTTTCCAATGTCACACAGTTCCAGTGGAATAAACTGAGATCTCAGGTCCTGTGTACAAGAAATCTTTGTTGAATTGAGGGGGAGGGGGTTAAAGAACAGGTAGAAGAGCAAATCTACTAAAGGAATTTATGATCATCTATTCCTACCATCTGTTTTTATCCACTACTCATCTGTCAGTTTGTCGTACTATGGTGGCTTGCATGTTGCTATTAGGCTGGAAGCTATGACACCGGTATTTCATATACCAGCAGGGTGACCTACAATGGACAAGTTTCAGCAGAGCTTCTAGACTGAGACACACTCAGAAGAAGGAAGGGGCCATCCACTTCTCAAAGAATTGGTCAGTGAAAGTCTTATGAGTAGCAGTGAAACATTGCCTGATACATTACTGGGAAACTTGAAGAACAGCCCTGAAACACTGATATAGTGCCGGAAGATGAGCCCCTCAGGTTGGAAGGCACTCAAACTACAACCGTGGAAGAGCTGCCTCCTCAATGTAGAGTTAACCTTAATGATGTGGATGGAGTAAAGCTTTTGGGACCTCCACATGCTGACATGGCACGACTCAAAATGGGAAGAAACAGCTG